GATTGAAAGTGCTTCGGTCTAACATAGTGTATGTGTCCAGTCACGGTCCTTTCTCGCTTCCATTGTTCCTTCCGCAACAGTGATGTATTGATCTCTGTTCATCGTGATTTTGTGACCGGTTTCTTCGTCCCATCCTTAGTGAACTAGTGGCCTGACCGTAAATACGTGGACGCCATTTTGACCTCCTGCTGTCGGCCTTCCTCATCCTGATGGTGTGCCCTTGTCCTGTTCAAGCCTTACTAAATGTTCTCATTAAAAGTACAGATTCTGAAATTGACTGTGATGATGACTGCACAGATCTTCTTATGATTGGACGATTACACTGTATAATAAGTGAAGTGAATGTATGCCAACAAGACTAGTTCTTAGGAAAACAGATGATAAATAATGGACAAAAAGCAGTTACCGGGAGTCAGTTCTGACTCATAGCGACCCCATGTGTTTCAGAGTAGAGCTGCGCCCGTGAGGTTGTCAATGACCTTTCAGAAATAGGTCAGCAGGCCTTCCTTCTGACCCGGTTAGTAGCAGAGATGTCGTAGCTTGCACCACCCAGGAGGCTCTGAATAAGGAGGAAGCCAATAAAACACTGTTATCTGTGTGTGTGATTCATCCACATCTTGCTCTCACTCGAGAGGTGGACATGTGGTAATTGTAGCAATGCCTTCGAAGACAAGGGTCTATTTAGCTCTCAGATCCTGCTGTGACTTGGGACCCTCTCCCTGTGCCTCACCATTGCCACTGCCTCTGGTTCTAGTGGGGTGGGGTTCCCCGAGTCCCTAGAGAAAGCTCTCCTTTCTCACGGAGAGCCGAGGGGGAGTGCTGCGCTGAGGTCACAGGCAAGGACTCGCGGGGCGGCGATTTGTGAGTGACGGGCTAATAATGCCTTCCTCTGGTTTGGAAACTCGGAGCAAAGCTTTGTCTTCTTGTGGGGATGGAGTCAGGGGGAGGTGGGAGGGTCTTTGAAGGCAGGGGTGGGGATCTCTCGAGAATAAAGTGTGACAGGACTCTTTTCCCCATCAAGCCAAGCAAGGTTGATTTGCTTTTTGCAGTGTGGGTGGGAAGGTCAGATCTGGACCACATAGTCAGTGCCCCTGGCCCAGGCTGTGGGGCCATCGAGAAACCAACCGTCCCTGGTCAGGTGGCACCTTCAACCAGGGCTCCTCGTCGTGCCCCACACGGTTGCTGTTTATTGTGGACAGTCCCTCCCGGCAGGAAGCCCTGGTGGTGCCTATGGTCACTTGCTCAGCTGCTTTTCAAAGAAAAGCCTGCCTGCGGCCTTCCAGTAAAACCCAGGGGAGCACAGTTCTCCTCTGCCACCCAGATGGGTCGCCATGCATCAGAATAGACTCCACATCAGTTGGGTCGCGGTTGCTGGTGAGACTGAAGACCACTAGGCTCTTCGAGCTCAACACAACAACAATCACCACTATAAAGTTCCTCCCGACTCACAGGAACCCCACAGGACCAGGTAGATTTACCAGCATGCAACTCATTATGCGAGTAGAAAGCCTCCTCTTTCTCACAGAGAGCAGCTGGAGGTTTTGAACTTCTCGCCTTGCCCTTAGCAGCCTGACCTGTAGCAGCACTATGCCACCAGCGCTCCTTGCTAAGAGGTGCAGCTAGCTAAGAGGTACTTTTCCTACAGGTTTGCCTTTTGATTTGGGGCACAGTCACTCTGTACCCTGAACTCTCAAACTCTCCATGCTAAAGGACTGGCACTTGGAACGAATATGTTAAGGTGCCCTTGACCCTTATTTCACAAATATTAATTGAGTGCCTGTAATTTGCTAGACCTGAAAGGAATTTAAAATTGAATGTGACATACCTGCCTTATGATGCTTACAGAAGCATAAAGAGCATATAGCTCAGGTGCAGTACTCCAAAATGAAATCTTGGGTTTGGAATCCCAGATTGTAACAAGGTAGTGTGTGAAACAAAAAGGAATAATAAGCATCAGTATGGACTTGGGCTGCTAATCTCAAGGTCAGCAGTTCTAAACCACCGGTCGCTCCTCAAGAGAAAGACATGGCTTTCCACTCCCATGAAGAGTGGCAGCCTCGGAAACTCACGGTGGCTGTTCTACCCTGTCCCATAGGGTCGCTGTGAGTCAGCGTTGGCTTGGTAGTGAGTTTGGTTTGGGCTTGGGCTGGACTTCCAGTGGTCCAAAACCACCAGCTCCTCTGGGAGAAAGATGAGGCTGTTTGCTCATGTACAGCCTTCCCAGCCCGCACTCCAAGACCCAGCAATCTTCTGCTTGGGATACAGCCTAGAGAAAGGAGAGCCACGGTGCGCATACACGCGTATGTGCACAGCCTGCTGATTGCAGCACTGAAGGGCACACTGATGGGAACGCCGACTTGCACAGCTGTGGGAGCACGGATAACGGGACTCTGGTACACACACACACACACACACACACACACAGTGGAGTAGGCGACTAGGGAACAACGCTGAACCTGTGCAACATCTCACAACATGATGAATCTGGAGGATATTGTACCGAGTGAAGGTAGTCGAGCCCTACAGGACAAAGATGTGAGACCGCTATCACAGAAAGTTAAGAATAGGTTTTTCCCATGAAAAGAAGTGTTCTTTGACGGCTGCCAGGGGTGGGAGGGGAAGGGACAGAGGGAGGGGAAGTCATGGGTTAGGACAGTGGTTCTCAACCTTCCTACTGCTGCGACCCCTTTAACACAGTTTGTCATGTTGTGGTGACCCCCCCAACCATAAAATTATTTTCGTTGCTACTTCCATAAACTGTAATTTTGCTACTGTTATGAATTGTCATGTAAATATCTGATATGCAGGATGTAGTTTCATAGTTATAAATTGAACATAAAGCATAGTGATTAATCACAAAAAATAGGTAACTATATTGTGAAATATTTATTTCTAAATACAAATAAATGAAATTTTGTCTTGAAGCATGGTGTAGCATGGGTAACAGTCTTAATATACAACAGTAAAATACATTGCTACATTTTGTGACAGTATGCATAAAAAACCAAAGCCAAAAGTCAGTACAAGGGTTGAGCTAGCCTCTTTCTCACCAGATCAGCAAACCTGCATGTGAGTGAACCCACCTAGAGACGGACAGAGGGGCGGTGTCTTGGTTCCTAAGACCATCCGAAATATGTGTTTTCCAGTGGTCTTAGGTGACCCCTGTGAAAGGGTCATTTGACACCTCCCACCCAGGGGTCACGACCCACAGGCTGAGAACCACTGGGTTAGAAGGTAGACGTGTGTTCACACGGGTGGTGGGGAAGGTGATATGCCATACGAGGGAGGAAAGGCACAATGGAGGCCGGGAAGTGTGTTAGCATGAAAGGTGACAGGCAGTGCTGTTGTATGCACACCCCTGCCATTGCGAGAATGCATGAGAAGATGCCTGGATAGACACACAGTGCGAGCAGGAGGGAGAGGGAGGGCATACCCACGTTTGATTGGCTCAGGATATTTGTAGATGTGTCTGTACTTTTGCTGCAAATACATTCATGAATGCCGTGGAGCATACAAGTGGGCAACGTTGTGAAAACTTCTTAGCCACAATCAAACACCTTGGAAGGAGAGGGTCATTAGGGCTGGGGGACAAGGACCATATAGTCTTGGGGTACGCCAGTCCACTGGCATAACTTAGTCCACAAAGACAGCGTGCTGCAGCCTTTCTCAGTGGGTGGCAGCTGGCGTCTTAAAGCTCACAAGCAGCCATCTGAGCTGCAACTGCTGGTTTCTCCTCATCCAGAGGAGAGAAGAGCGATGGAGACCAGAGGACACGTGGAGATCATGAGACCAGTGGACTGTTGGGCCGTGTCAGTGCCTGTCTCCCCAGCCCTGAGACCAGAAGACCTAGATGGTGCCCAACTACCACTACCAACTGCTCTGGAAAGGATCGAGTGGGAGAAAAATAGTGAATAAAACGCAAAATCGTAAAAGTGACCAGGCTTCCTGGTTGTACAGAAACTGGCACGAGCCCCAAGACGATGGCCTGGAGTTAGAACAATCCACCATTTAAGATCAAAAGGGCAACATTTGTCCTACAGGGAGAGACTTCAGAGGGCGAGGCCACATGGAGACATGGCGACAGGAAGCACAGGAAGTGGGATAAGCGATGGCACATTGAAGAGATGGCAGTGGATGAGTTGAAGCACAGCATGTATGAATCACTGGATGTTCAGTGACGATCTGCTCCGTAAGCCTTCAGCTAATTCACAGTCAGACGTTTAAAAGGAAAAAGTTGTCCGTTTCCAGTAGCAGGCCACCACGAGTGAGAATGGGCTCGGTGGCAGCAGGTGTTTGGGGAGGTGAGCCCAGGTTGCACAGTGGTTACGGGCTGCACCGTTGAAGCCACCAGCTCCTCTGTGGGAGAAAGACAACGGTTTCTACTCCCATAAAGAGCTACAGTCTCCGAAGTCCACAGGGGCAGGTCTGTCCTGTCCTATAGGCTCACGGTGAGTCAGCATCAGCTCAATGGCATTGTGCTTGGAGTTTGTTTTGAAAGCATTTAACCCTCATTTAGTCCTCTCAACAGCCCCGTGAGGTGCAGGTACTCAGGAGGAAACCGAGTCTCAAGGTAACTTGCCCAAGGCCGCTCAGCTAGGCAGTAGCAAAGCTGACCCCTTCAAATACAGTCTCCTCCCAATGCTTAGGCTGTTTGTTACTGTTTTTCTTACCACCCGGGGGTACATATATAACTGAATATGTACATGAAAAAAACTGTCATTGAGTCAACTCTGACTCATGGCAGGTAGAACTAGGGGAGTAAAACTACTCCCATGGGGTTCTGAGACTACAGCTTTTTACAGGAGTCGAAGCTTCATCTTTCTCCCTTGGAGAGGCTGGTGGTTTTGAACTGTTGACCCGGTGGTTAGCAGCCCCAACTCGTAACCACTAGGCCGCCATGATGGCAGTATGTCCAGAGGTAACTTCTTTTAAAGCTTTGTAAGGTCAGCGGTGGGATTTGCTTTGCTGTATCCAGGAACCCTGTGTTTATTTCCTGACAGGCCAGGGGTTCACAGCAGTCAAGGAAAAAGCAGGGGCCACCCTTCGGATTCATGGAGCCCCTTCCGGAACAGCTGATGGCGTCCAGCCTGAGACTGAAAATGAAGCCTCTCCAAGTGAGAGATATGTTTATTGGGGGGTGGTTTCTTGTACTTGGGCTTTGTGACATGACATGTGCAGTTGGAAGGGTTTTGAGTTCAGAGCAGCAAAATTAATGCTAAAAGGATTTTCCCCCATTTAGTAGCTGGTGCTGTCACCGACCAGAGCCCTGTGGACAGTCCGCCCACCTCTCCATCGTCGGGGTCTCGGGGCATGCTGTCAGCCATCACCAACGCCATGCAAAACACAGTGAGTGCACCTGCAGGACCTCCCCTCCCATCGTCTACTTACTAGTGGCCTAGATCCGTCAGAGCCAGCGCCAAGATGGCCTTGCTCGTAATTTAGGATTATGGCTCTATGATGCTTTCTAGGACAGAGCAGGTCTAACCTTGAAACCAAAAGAGGAAGGGCAAAACACAGCATATTTACGTGGGAAAGAAGGCGCCTGTTGAAAAGGAACATTTCCCAGTCTGATTGCACGGTGTCCTTTCGAATAACCACAAGGACTGCCTTGGGCTGGGGGACAGGGGGTGGGGGTGGGGAGGGGTAGCAGGAACAGGGAGGGCTCTCTCTTAGCTTCCATGATCTGTGTCTCCTAACCCTGAATTTGAAAAACTCTCAACATTATTCGAATGAAACGTGCCCATTGGGAATCAGAAGAACTACAGCCTAGGGATGTTAAGGAAGTGCACGCAGGAGTGGAAGATCAGTGTTCTCCCCGGCCGTGACACACACACACACACACACACACACACACACACACCTCTTCTCCCCATCACTCCATAGATTTCTACACATACACCTTCTCCCC